ACCTGCCTACATCAGCAAGACAACAGCAACCAGCAAAGACATGTGCTTGTCCCAGGAAAGAGCTCCTGACTTACAGTCCAAAGCACAGACCTGCCCCTGCTACCATTAACACCAGACTTTCCCTCCATGCTGGACCACCATGAAAAAGCCTTCTCCTAGAGGTGACAGAGCTGTGGCTCACCACCAGCATGCACAAGGGTGAAGCACTCTACAACTTCAAAGGGCTTTTGCAAATGTTAGGAGCTGGATGTGCTGACAACTGAGTAGCCCTGAGTAAATAACAGGAGATACACAAACACCTTGGCCGCTGTCCTGCACTGCGTCACTCCCAAGAGCTGTCACAGTGCCAAAGCACCATAAGTCTCTCTTGTGTGTGTTTTTTGGGGATTCAGCATCCACTACTCTAAGCTGTCTGTCTGGTCTACATGTCCAGAAAGGCTGCTCATCTAGAGCAATAGTTTATCTGTCCATGGAGCTGATGGGCACCTCCTCATCCTACGTGAACAGATGTACTGTGTTTACTGAATGGATATGCCACTTTACTGAGAATTTAGCTCAGTGGGCTTCTTTTCTCCAGGAGCACAAGTCTAGTCCTGGGATCTCATGTCAGTGTCCATCAGCAAGTAGGGAGATACGTTGTCACACAGTATTTAATTTTGGCATGATACATGAAAGAGTCAGAGTAATGAAAACTCTTCACCTTTTGTAGTAAACACAGGCCACTAGCATGTACTATAATGTTATCTAGTAAAACAAAACAATTTTGGGACTCTTTCAAATGCTGCAAAGGAACAGCAGGCTTTGGGTGGGCTGCTCTGCTCTATGAATGCTGCCTGTTAATACCCAGATGTCGAATGCCAACTTTCCATTCACTGATGCAAAATAACAGACCATCATGTGGTAAAAATAACCGTGGGAGTCATGCAACACATTCCAGCACTCGTTTCACCTACAACACACTATCAGAAATGTGTCTGAGGAAGTTCACTGGGCATCTGTATCAATGCTAACCCAAACAGTATGTTTCAGGTTTGTGATTTGGAGAATAAGTTTAAGGGAGAGGTAATTCGGTAATTCTTTTCATTAACTTTTTACTCCTTTGGTATCATTTACACTAAATATAAAATATCTGTAGAAAACAGGAGATCACTTTATTATTGTGTGACAATGGGACAGAAACTCAGAAATGGCTGCCTTCCCCTAACACTGACCTGAGATCTTTAGGAGAACATGAAAAACTAAACTAGCTTTAAAGCTTCTCTATATCTAAGGACAGTTTGTGCCACATGATAGCCTAAATCCATGTCTGGCTTCACTCTGACATTGATACAATGGTACCACCAATCTGGCAGCTGAGTTTCAAACATTTAATAATGCAGCAATGCCCTTCCATTGTTCCCACTACTGACAGATTTTCAGGCCACTTAAGACTCAATGAATGTTGAATAAGGGGTCCAATCTTCTCATTAAGACCACTAGACCAACCACTTTTTAAAAGAAATGGGAAGTATAATACCAGGATTTTTACATGGGGCAGCGTAAGTCTTATTCTGAAGACTCAAGTTAGGCGAGCAGGAATGCTTGAAGTCCATGACCAAACTTGCTTTAACTCTGCTTATTCTTCTATTTCCACTTTGCAGTCTTGGATACAAAGACTGTTTCTACTGTTCATGCATTTCAAAATCTCTAAAAATATTAAACTAATCCTACCTATCATATGATCATTCTGTCTGTAATCCACTGTTACACCTTTAATATGCTCATGTCTTGTCTTAATCTTGTACTCCCTGTTTTTATAACTGTATGTGCATCTTGTACTTCTATGTCCTCCAGTTTTATCAGCATAATTATCAGGTAATTATCAGCATAATGATAGTATTTAATTATTTGTATTGCATTCTTTCTTCTGCTTTATTTCTGGCTTTGTGATGCAGATATTTTTTCAGTTGCTTGGCATGAAGTGTACAGAAATGCTGACTAATGTAGGCATCTTTCTTCCAAATGCTTTTGCAGACAAGGGAGCTCATTAAACCATTACACTTCCTTACTCATATGCACATATCCTTGCAAGCTACAAGCTGAAGTATGCGATATCTTGTATCATGATAACATGGAAGTCTAATAAATAAACAGAAGTTTGTACACTCGTGCATTTTTGCTGCCCCAGCTGAAATTAAACACCTCCCACACAAAGGAGACCTGGTTACACTAGCTTAAGAAAAAAACACTACAAGGATGTGTACATCTTGCAAAATGTCTGATTTTAGTGGGAAAGTCACTTAAAACTGAATTAGAAAAAGCAATATTCAACTGAAGCATTTGTGTTATGTGCAAGACCTTCAAGACCATCTACAAACCCATAGCTAATCCTACTGTTTTTCTAAGTTAGAGATATTTGCCTCTTCTGGACAGCACAGACCTACATGAGCACTCATCCTCATTTATGAATGCTAGTCTGGTCTCAAACACTATCTTCTTCAGTTTTCTATTCTAAGTGTCACAGTTCACGCAGCTTGTCAGAACTATTGTTTTTGTCTGGCCTGCAAATAAAGATGGATATTTCTCTTTTGCCATGGCTGTTTATGTAGTAAATGCAGAGGTATGAGAAAGGGACCTTCCTGATTGCTTCAGTATAAGCAGAAGAAATGATGCTCTCTACAATGACAATGGGATGCTCTGCAGCAAGAGGAAAGGGATGACTGCACATTCCCCCTTGTTAAAGCAGGGGCACAGGTGCTGGCTGCCAGCAGAGGTTGGACACTGGCCTTCACGAATAACCTTTATCCTTCTCCTATACCACATGTAAAAGACTGCACGTTTTCCAGTGGGTACACACCCAGCACGTGTGCCACAAGACCCTTTCTGAGATGTCTTGATACTGCAGCTGCTCTGTGCTTGCACGTATGATGCAGTGTGCCCCTAATAAATATGCAAGATTCATGGCACAGTGGCCATACAGACCCCTGGCATCAACTCTATGGCTGGTCTTAGCGTAGTTTTCCCTCTTCCCGGTGAACTAACTTAGTCCATCCTCTGTCACCCTCATTGAGAGGGTTTGGGCTGTTTCATAGTAGTCCCACTGGATAGTGCATACTGCACTTCCAAAGGACCATCAGGTCCCTACAAACTTGAACATATGAAGGGTGCCCCCGTAAACCTCCTCTCTGATTCCCTCCTGGGAATGCAGAGGGGAAATGTGGTGCACGGACAGCAAAAAAATCCTTGAAGCATGAGTTCATTCTACTTCACTCCTCCAGATAACATGCCTGACATCTTCTCTTCTTCTTACCCATTCTACAGACCCTTACCTTCTCAGTCTATCTTGATGGGCTCTGGATGTGTCATATTGTCATGGATGTAAATTGTAATTAGACCAATGACCTCAACTTCTACTGCCTTATCCCTGCAATACAGCTGTAATATTTTCTCATTTAAATTAAAATACATTTTTACTATCTTGAGTGTACCCTTAGAAAGGTAACAGGGAAGTTAAGCATGCTAGCATGTCTGTCAAACAAAAGTTATTTCAACTCAGCAGCAAGCAGCTGACCTGTCATTTGACAGACAGGTGGTCACAGCAGAAGAGAGCTCCGTTACTTCCACATATTTGAAGCCTTTATTTCATGGGTGCAGCTAAAGAAGAAAAAAATCAAACTACAGGGGCAAAGGTTTTACTCAGACTTTCATCCTACTCTTTGAACTAATTAAGCAAAGCAGGCTTCATTGCCTTGAGTGGTGGTATTCACATAGCTGAAATTGAGCACATGCTGATGTGTTTTGCTGAATGGGGTCAGAGCACTTAACACTTTGCAGCATTCAGCACTAGGTGAAATATGCATTACAGTACACATTTGTGAAGTTCAGTCCATGTACTCTTTCCATCTACTGCATTAATTTATGGAGTAAAACATCAGGTAGAATATGAAATCTAAAAAAAAAAAGCTTCCTTGCCTTATGTTACCACAGATGTAAAAGACCAATACACATTCTCAGATCAGTTTTAATTAATAGGAATCACAAGACAGAGACCACTAGCATGAGGCAACTCTTACATTCATGCTGATCTATTACTTCCACATAGAAGCCATTTAGTGTCATCCAAGCTTAGGGTAGGTCTGTGTATATCCCCAAAGAAACATTCCCAGTGATTTCTCCAAGAAATTTCATAGGAAGCCTGGCATAAGGCAAACTGAGTTCACCAGATGCTAGGCTAATCCCTCAACCCTCGGACTGTTGGTCCTATTTGATTTTTCTGTCACTTATATGCCTCAGCTAACACATCTGTAAAAGCTATGGTGTCAAATTCAACCAACTTTTGCCAATTTTCTGCTAGCTGAAGACACTCTAAATTCACATAGCCTAAATTCACATAGCCTTAACGGCAGAAGAAGCAGTTCTGGAATTCGTCCTATGAGGGATAAAAGCATTTTCCTCATGAGCTTTAGAGCCTATTGTTTGTAGCAAAACAAAGGAAAATGGAAAAAACAGGACAAACGTCAACTCAGACTGCAATGGGAAACTGATAAAAGGAAATAATTCTCATGCCCAAACCTTGCTTCTGAAAGCAGTGGATATTTGATCTGCTGGTGGCATCTGCCATTGCATTTTGAAAAGTCATCTGCACCACTGAAAAGAGAGTGCAAAATTGTGCCGCCCCTCTTTGAACTCCTTTTGGCTGTAGGAGGTGTAAAGCAATGGAGAATCTCTTGAGTGTTGATCAAGTCATACATGTGCATTTGAAGGGGGAATTCAGCCCTCTTTTAGCTCCCTTGTGAGAGAAATACATCAAAGTGTATTAAACACAAAGATGCCATGATGTTTCTACCTTGCAAACCATGGACATCTGGGACACAAATTCTGGGCATGTTTGGTTGTGTGTGCCTGCCTCTTACGCTCTTCCCTGGGCAGCTGCTGCCAGAGATGGGGACCTGGGCAAAGAAGGTCTCCAGCTTTAATGAGAGTGTCTGTTTTTAGACAATGCAAAGAGAAACTGTCCCTACCTGTGTATGTTTTCTTCCAGCTTTTTCACCTTCAGCTCATCCTCTTCTGACTGCCTCCTTCTGGCTTCTTCCTCTTCTGCAGAGCCAGCAGGAATTCCCTGTAGCAGCCATTTTTCCCGAAGAGCTTTTGACTGTAAAATAAAAAATCCCAGCCCTTAGGAACAGACTCAACAGAAACCATCTGAAGACTGAGAAGGAGCTGCCTCTGCTTCTGAGTATTACACTGTCCCCACTGAATTTCTGATTACTGCTTTAGACAGTCAATTTAAGCCAATCTATCAGCCATTTACCCAGATGCCAGGTCTTCCAGATTGAGGAGTGTCAGTTTTACAATATATAATTTATTTACCATCAATGCCTTAATATGAAGATATTTTTAGTTCCTAATAAAACCAAGAGTTTAAATCAAGCAAATTAGCCAGTCCTGCAAGAACTGAAATCTTTGAACAAAAGTGTGGATCTCTCATGAATGCTAAGGCATGTGCTGGAAAGACTAAAATCATAAACTTCTTAAAGCTTCAAAAACAAAAAAGCAGTGTGCTCTAAATGTAATGTGTTTCATAAAGGATAAAATCAGTCTGCTATTAAATTAATCAAAGATGTTATTTTTGATTTATACCACAGATGTCTCCATACATTTACAGGCATACAGACAGACACACACACACACATATACATTCACACAAGCACACGCATGACCTCTTAGCCAGACACAAATTAAAACAAATGAACAAAAGTCTTACAGAAACCACAGGTATCCCAGGGCACAGCAACACTGCTGCAGAAAGCAGCAGTAGTCTATCTCCACTAGAATCGTTCCTGGGCATTTTGCTGTGCTTTCTACATTAAAAACGTGGCTACAATCTCACCCAGCCAGCATCTAATGCAGCTGCAACTCACCTAGGGGAGTTCCCATCAGAGATGCACTGGCTTCGAGCAATCCTTTAAATAGCACATCAGCCTGTGTGTCTTGTTCGGCCCAAATCCTGCCAGAGGGATGCGGCAGATCAGCCCGCAGACAGGACAAGCGCCTGTTAAAAGGAAGATCAGGAGCCCAAAGACATGCAGGACTTTGGCCCCTGGCAAGAGGAGATGGAACTGGTGGAAAAAAACATCAGCCAAGGGGCCAACCAAACTAGCCCCTTGAATAGACCATAAAAGGAGAGCCTTGGTTTTGAATTTGCAAAGCGACTGGCCATTCTAGTTCAAGGAACCAGCTGTGGGAGCATACTTCCTCTCTGGCAAAGAATGGCTAATAAGGAAATCATCCGTTCAAAAAAAAACGGATTTCAGAGGGTGCCCAAACATGCTGTATCAGTCTTTTCAGTGACATGTTTGTTGCTGGAATGGAACCTGACTTGTGAAAACTATGTATAAGGGAAAAACATTCACCACCAAAAGCAGGCTTCAAACCCAACCCAAAATAGAAAGATTTTTGACATGACAGACAAGGCTTACTTGTTAGTTTTTGAGTGTATATATAGACATAGTATCTATGCACAAACTATTCTGTCACTCCATGGCCTGACATCAGGCAATTAGATTTTAATAAGGCAGCAGACAGAAAGCAATACAAAACACACAAGCAAATTAGACTTTATAAATGACTCCAGCCTTCACTGTCTTTAACTGTGCTGCACACCAGAGGACTTACAGATGGGTTTTAAGTGATTTCTATATGAATTAGGACTTCTGCACGACAGAAAACATCTTGTGCTCTTGTACCATGAAGTCATGTTCAACAGTCAGACCTTACGGTGCTGGAGATGTACTTTACCCAGCTGAACTCAGCTCTGCTCATGGCCTCCAAGGTGTTAGTTCACAAAACATTAGGGATGGCTATCTCCAGACATAGTTTCCGCCGTTTGCAGCTCCTTTTGCTGCCACTACCATCTACCAGTGCTTCCTGCCACATGTTGTGGGTTGGTAATGAGAATTCCCTGTGGGATCTTTGCTTTCCTGTTCAACCCAGCTGATTACTGTTCAGAATTTTCATCAGCTCATTCAGGCCCAATGTGCTATTGAAATGTCCCCTCAGCAGAGGACTCCCAAGTCATCACATGTACCAAGAAACAAGGTGAGGCAGAGATGGATTTACAGGTCCTGAGGTACTAAGAATTTAACCACTTGTGCTTTGGCATTTAAGAGGCCGCAGTAGCACAACTCAGTGGGTACCTGCTGGGCCAGATCCAGTGTAAAGCACTGTGAATGCTGATCGCTCTTTAGAAAATTGCAGTATTTTCTTTAAAAATAAATGTGGCCAGTTGCATGTGGAAGTATGTTGCTACATGTGTCATACTCAGCTGTGAGCCTGGATTTGAAATCCTGAGTGATACTCAGTTGGAAAAAATACCCCTCAGGTTTCTAAAGACCAAACTCTAAAGTTGAAGGCAGCCTTTTCTCTTTTAAAGTTGTTTTAGATACAGTTCCAGCAGTCCTAATAAAGCATTTGGCAAAGTGCTGCTTGGACAGCACTGAGGACATTCAGTAAATAGTCACTCCTCATTTGCTACAGGAGGACAGATAAAATCCAGGCTTTTTTCTCTGTGCTTTTACAGAATCTCCATGCTGATGCTCAGACAGGGAGAAGCCAGTCCTTTCAGTACAACTGCTGTACACCAAAAATAAGATATTTTGTGCAGCTTTTGTTTTGGTCTTTGTTTATGTGAAACATTTAAGCTTCAAAATCACATGATTTTATTTTCTCCCAGAAGCCTCTTTTTTGACCTATTAATAGCATGAATTTGAAACTGGAAAGCATCAATGGGATTTTTTAACAGACATATTTAGAGACAAGAATGCTACGATCTACTAAAAATCCTCCCTCTTGGGTGAAATGTCAGCATATTTTATCTAAAACAGGAAAGCTGGTAGCTTTGATGTTTCTGGCTCTCCTTTTTAAGATGAAAATGAAGGCATTCGTTAAATACTACACTGAGGAATCCAGACAAGAAGACTCTGAGAAATGGAAACATTTATAAGATCAATTTCTTAAAATTCAGAGGGTCTATCTGCCAAGTTGTTGAGGTTATATACATTTATACACCCACTGCAAACACAATGGGCAAACAAGCATGCACACGTCAGGGGACTGTGTGCAACCGTCTTGCTGTCCAGGAAACATTATCTCCCCTGCCAGATGACTGGCATAGTGCTGAGGCAGTGGGTAGGGGTGGAAGAAGTCTCTCACATGCTTTGAGCAAACCCTTCCTAAGGCATTTTAATCAGAAACCCGGACGGGAAGGCTTTGGCACTCATGATTAGACCAAGGGTGGGTAGGGCGCAATAGGGAGGTGGTGGTGGAGCTGCGCCGGGTGCCTGCGCACAGCTCCTGGGTATGAGGCAGTCCAGTGAGGCAGCCAGCACCGAGGCAGTCCAGCCAGATGTAAACCAGAGCCAGATGTGGCTTGGAAACAAAAGACAGTTTGCTGCCATCTGTCCTCCACAGCTATGAAATTTGGGTTATGCTTCTTGAAAAAATCTTGCAAAATCTTATCCCAGAAAGAATAGGTGTCTCTCAAATCTGCTAAAAGGAGAATGTCTGCATGAGGATGGAGCCCCAAAATAGCTAGCTGTACAATTTACCCCTGCTTAGCAATGCTGTGTATTTGCTTTACTTAACAGTCCGTGATTAAAATGGCCACGAGCTAGTATTTCAGCACGTCTCCTCCTTCATCATCTGTTATGAGCTTTAACTCTCTACTGTGTCTTGGAGCTTCTTTATGCACTAAAGTTGTGCTGTATGATTAGATACTGTCAAAATTATAGAGTGCTCCAAGAGTAGCCAAATAATAGTACTGTAAAAACACAGGTATTTGTATAGCTCATTCCCATACTGAAGTGCAAATATGCTGTACTTTCAGAAGGTACCACTTCACTGGTACAACAGCAGCTATGCTATATACAATTTGGTATAAGTATTCCTTCATTTACTGCAAGAGTACAATTTCTTCAGGGCTAAATCCTTCACCAGAAATTAGATCATGCCATTAAAAAGGCTCGCTGTTACTGAAATGGAAAGGGCACTGGGCTTGCGATGCTCTAGGTCACCACTGCTCTCAGGTGATTTGGTTTCTCTGCACACAAGTGAGATTGCAGAGATAGCTGGAAGCTCCCCGTTTATTTTGTTCAAGCGTAGGAAAGAAGAGTGACTTCTGCACTGTACAAAGAAGGAAGAAAGCAGGTCATGATTCTGTGAACAGATCATGGTGAGGACAGAAATAAGTGAACAGATGTTGGACAGGACAGAAAGAAATCGTGCCAAATGTTTGAATGCAGTAGACACAGTAATGGCCATAAATGTGGTGCACAGCTCCCTTACGTGCTATTTATTCCAGTTTCATGCTTCAGGACAGTAAAGCCTGAGGGCTTTAAGTTGCTTACATTTAGTGCTAGCAAGGAAATATTGCATAGCCCCTCCAATGCACATATTTGAATTAATGCTCTGTTGAAAAGAAAATCTTTACTTTCAGTGCTGCATTTTGCTTTAATGTTGCATCAAAAGTTTAAGTATCGGCAACATTTTACTGTTACAAGTAAATCTTTTTAGCACCATGTTCATATACCATTATGCCTGTTACCTTCCACCTCTGGACTCCCTGCTTGTGAAAGGTGATTAATTCTACCCAGCAGTATTGCTGATTTTGGAACTACTTCCATAAACATTGCTCATAAAGAATAACACATTTCTAGTCCCACATGAGGTATGGCGATCTTAACCTGAGGCCCAGATGCATTTGCCAGACTTGCCATTTGACTCTTTGTGACGATATAAAAGACAGTTCTTGCGGGGCTGCCACCTTTTGAGGTAGTTTCTTCAAGCCGTTTTGGGTTGGTTTTTTTTGTATTTACAAGTGGTTAGAGGGGCAATCAGTACTATCCCTCCCTGAGGGCAGTGCTTGCTAAAGTGGAACACTCCTCTGGCTGCTGAGTAATTTTCAATGAAGCTGATAATCCTGAGGAAAAACAAAGGTCAAAAGTTGACGCAAGATAGCCTCCTCCAGTAAAATGTACCTGCTCTTGAGAAACACTACTGAATGTGGACTATTCAGGGTAATGATGCTCTTCTGTGCCGTGCAAAATGGGCAATAATGATCCCTGGTGTAATTCCAGTGAAATCAGTGGTGTTACA